CATGGGCTGGGGGAGGGCGCAACTTTTGTGCTGGTGTTAAAACTTTAATTACCTTAAAAAAAAAAGGCCCTAATAATCCTCTCCCCCGACCCTTTCTGGTGAAAGCACGGCCCACAGTGCGACCGTGAGAGAAAGTTTAAAAGCGGACGGTCTCCTCCCCGCTTTCCCCGCGGAGGAGTAGGGGTATCTGTTTGTCCGTCTGCGCTCCGAGAAACGTGGGGGTAACAAGCAACCCTCCGGGGTGGCTAAGACCGTGACTCTTACCCCACCCTTCCACGGGGAGACGAAGGTAAACGTCGCTTCGGTTTCCCTCCTTCCCCCCCTCCCCCCTGCTTCCTTTTCCTCCTCCTCCCCGCCGATTTTTTGAGGGGACCCAAAAAACGGAGTCTCTTTCCTTATGCAACTTCCTCGGGCGCTGTTAGCTCGGCCCTTCCCCCTCCCTGCATCCCTTGGCCCGCTCCTTAACCACCTCGGCTCTACCGCCAGAAAAATGCATTAGAGATCATTCAAAGTGCACAGAAACAAAAATAGATTTTTAATTGTTCTTAGTTTAAGTTAAGGGAAACTGAGATGAGAAATAAGAACGGGGAGGGGGGCGGCCGGGGCCAGTGCGTTGATTTTTAATTTTGTTTCTCCTAAAGCGTTGTCTGTGATATCTTTATTGATTTTGGGAGCCCGCGAGTCTCCGTACTGGCTAGCTCAGTCGCGTGGATTTTTGCGCAAGTTTTTAGAAAAACACTGACTCGAGTAGAGCATTTCTCCGGAAAGTTTCAAGTGCAGCAAAATAGCGAACGTGCAAAACTGGCCAAGGGGAGACCTCTAGTGGTTAAACGCATCTTTAAGTTCGGAAGGCCGAGAGCAAAGTTTGGCCTTTACTTGTAGCTACGTAGTCCGTTCAGACGTGGAAGTAATTAGAGGACCTGAGCGAGCAGCCAGATGTTGTGTGCAAGGATGCTGATCAGAAATAGAATGTTCAGTAAATCGGGGAGCAAATGAATTCTAAGGACCCAGACCCTGTAACTTCCATTCCTCATTATTTATATGGGAAAAATACTTTGCTTTTATTCTGAAATTTGAGCTTCCTCACTCCCTGGATTAGAAATTTTTTTTTTTAATTTATGGTTGTCTATACATTTGATAAACTTTTAATCAGGAGACTGTGGATAATTTCATTTTGAATGTTAATAAAAATACAAAGTACAATATGTGCTTAAAACTTTAAAATAATGGAAAAGACCTTCAGTTGAAATTTGTCTTTTGTATGAGCTGATCATTTTATTCTCTAGTAAATATAATTTAAGGCTAGTATTTAGTATCTTATCCATACAGTTACATATAGTCATAAAATAAATGGTCCCTTTTAGATCTAAGAGTGTAATTTTGTTTCACTGGGCAAGAAATTATTTCTGATTACTTTGTATAATTTGTGATTTAAACACTTAAATATATGGACAAAAACTGATTACATATCTATTCATTTGCCAGTGTGTGTTCTATAAAATAACTTTAATTTTAAAGGTAAAAGCAATGAGAGAAAGTTGAATCAAATGATCCCTGTAACCTTCACTTAATTGTCATATACTGAGAGAGACTTTAATGGGGGAATTTAGGATATGGGGAATAATATGAATGATAAAATTCATTTCACCTCATTTAGAACTAGTTTATTTTATTTTAATATACTAGGCGATATTATGAAATTATGCAGTATATTCATGATTCAAAATTTGAATTTTGTAATTGTGGATGGTTGACGTGAAGACTTCTTTTTTTAAGGCAATGCTTTGATTTTACTTTTTCTATCTTTAAATCAATGCTACACTTTCAGGAGAAGTATTGGGGGCGGACAGCAATCATAAAGACCACCAGACAGTTATTTCTTCACTGCCATTAGGTAAGATTTGCCTGTTGAAACAAATTGCTTGATGTATTTGCAAATGTTAAAGGCTGCATATGGGGACCAGGAAGGAGAGTGTGGGACAAGAATGGCAGAAAACCATCATTTTGTGGGGGTTGCTTTGAATGCTTGAAAGTCTTGACACTGTGATTGAAGCTGGAATAAAACATTGGGAAAAGTTATGAGATTGTCCTTGGTAATCTTCGCACTGGCTGTCTTACTAGATTCTTAATGAGCATTTCAGTTGCACCTGTTTTCTACTGACAGTAAATTGTTTTATTCTTTGGAGTTGAAAAGTTGGAAAACTAGAACAAAGCAATTGTAAATTAATATAACTGTTGTATAAGTACACAGTGATATGGAAGATTCTGGAACTTGGTAAAATTTTGTCGGTGAAGTTGACAGCAAGAACTTCAGGCATATTTAGGTAATTTAACTCCTGTGGCTTGAATCCAACATGGGATGACTTATACCAAATATCATGTCATAGAGTTGCAGTGGGTTTTTAGTGTGTTAGCATAGACTTGTCAGTTTTTGAATGTATCTCCACAGGGAATACAGCTGTTGTCTAGGCAGATCCCTTTGGCATTTTTGGAGGGTGCTGATTTGTCCTTAGAAATCCAGGACCCGCTTTCAGGACAAAGGTCATTTTCAGGCAGATGAGAATGGGCCAGCCCTCATTTGGGTAGAGTATCGAAGTACATTTTGCCACTCAGAGCGCTTTCTACTGTTTATACCTTTTTCTTTTCTCCCCCCCCCCTTTAATCCTTTACCTTTCCTTTTCTGCTGCTTTTAATCTTCCTTTGCAGTCTTGAGTCTTAAAGGAGTTGCTAATAGTGGTTCAGCGAAAACAAAAGAAAACAAATTAGCTTTATCTTTTATGAACAGGACTAATAATCCTCACAGGCCACCTGATAACCAGGATAGGTGTGGTCTAGATATCAAAACTGAATAATTACCGATATAAAAATGGTTAACTGGAGTTTATTGTCAGTTCCTGCTTGTGGATGGTCTTGAATAGCGTTATTAGCAAAATAAATAGATGTGGTTCATGTGTACGATGCAGCAGAGACAATAGGGCAAGATCCCAACTATAAGAACATCATACAGACAGAAGTAGAGTTCAAGCAGAGAAAATGTGTTTCCTAGGATGGTTAGTCTTGTGTTTAAACATGCTGAGTGGAAGACAGTGATTATTTTTCTTCATTTGGGGAGTCACTGGGGCTGTGGATAGAGTGCTAGCCACTAAATACCTTGTGTAAGTCACTTTACCCCTTTGAGCCTACATTTCCCCATCTGGAAGCTGGGAGCAACAGTGCTTGCCTTGCTTCTTTTGTTGAAAGAATCAAAGTGAGGTTTTGAGAACTATCAACAATTAATTCCTATGTTTGGTACTCATTTTACCTCAGCCAGGCTTTGTGAAGGACGGAAGGTAGGTTGTTGAGGGCAAAACAGAATGATTTAATTCCTGGCTAAGATTATTAGATTGGTTTCTGGTGTATATATTATACGGACTTGTCACAGTACTTCTAGGGTATATTTCTTTTCTTTAGGAAAAAAAAAAGTAGTCTATCTTTTATGGTATTGGCTCCTTAAGAGAAGGGACCATGTTTTAACATGGTGCTGAACACAAACTGAAATTTATTTATCCCAAGCTAGTCATTTAATAGGTAGGAGTAAATGAAATAAATACTTCAAATTGAAAATGATGCCTAATTGTGGAAGTGGTAGGGTGATGAAAGTAGAAAGGTTGGTGTGAGGGGAATTCGTGTCCTGTAATTAATATTTTAGTTGCATGAGTCTGTTGGGAAATGAGGATGATAAAATAGGTAACTGGGATAGTAAGGATTTAGAATATAGGGGCCAGGAGATGGATCCTGCAAATGACGCGTTTAGGCAAAGGGCCGCATAGGGCTCCCCCACCCCCTGTGTTTTCTAGACCCCTTTGCTATTTTTTTCTAATTATAACCAACTATTACCTAGAGAGAAAAAAAAAAAGTCACAAGTACTAGCTGTCATTATTTTCCATTTGTTGATACTGAACTTGACATACCCTGACAAGTTTTAGTTTTAGTTCATCTCTCTTTTCTTACGGATTATACAATCAATGGTCTAAGAATCCAAAAACCCAATAGTGAAGGGAAGAAGGAATATTTTCTTTTTAAACTGTCCCTCAGGGAGTGGTTTTCTTTTCTTTTTTTTTTTTTTAAAGATTTTTATTGGGGAATTGGGGGATGGGAACAGCGCTGGGGAATTGGGGGAAGGGGAACAGACAAGTTGCTGTCCTTTTGTTCTTCAGTCTAGTTGTGGAGGACGTTGCTTCACTGGCCCAAGTTGGCACCATCATTGCGCTCTTCCTGGGCGAGGCACATCAGTTGCCGGCTTCTGGACGGCCGCTCACAGCTGCTGCTGGCCGCTCACGCTGGCTGCTGGCTACACACAGTAGCCTATGGCAACTCACTGCCACCACAGGGGCTGCAGCCTAAGCTGTTCACGGCAACTCACAGCAGCCCAGCTCCAGGTTGAGCTGTTGTTCAGCATCTTAGCTGTAGAGGGCAGTGTCACTGACCCTCATATGTGGGATCTGAACCGGGGCCCTCTGGTGTCCCAAGCCAGCTCTTAACCAACGCGCCACGCGGCTGGCCCGGAAGAAGGAATATTAATATATATCTGGTTTAATTAGTCCGTGAGTAATTGAAGGTTGGGTTCTTGAATAATCTCTACTCTTTTTTTTTTTTGTAGTTTATTTCTAAGAAACATGTTTCAAACAAGGCTATTTATAGTAGGTACAATTAGGATGGGGAGTTTACAAGAGAAGTTACTTTGTGGTATGGGACAAGGTACCCTTGGGGTCCCAAGGTTGGGAACCTGAGCGATCCCTCTGGCAATGTTTCTACTAGCTAACCGGTTTTTATTGAGTGCTTACAGTGCCAGACACTAAAAGACTAGGTGTTTGCCCTTGAGAAATTCCCTAGACTCTTACCCGAGAAGTAGATACAACTCTTGAGCTCTGCTAATAGGAGTATAACAGCTGCACTTGGTGTCGGTAGAAAAGAGTAAGGGCTGTAGCACTCTTGGGAGCCACTGAGCCCGGGAACATGGATTCCTGGGTTAACTAATGCAGGTCCATGGCATATAATTGTATACATATAATATGTTACATCCCTTTTTTTAATGCCTAGTCTTCAGAAGTTGAATAAGAATCTCTTTACCCAATGTCAAGGAATACATGAATTGTATATCTGGCCAGGGAGATGGATTTGGTCTGATTCTTTTCCTCTTTGGCCAGTGTGTTCACAAAGGTGACTGTGATGACGATCTGCTCTACCACTGTCCCTACTCGCTACTATTGAGGGACTCATTCCTCACAAGGAATTGGGGGACAGTGTATTTGAAGTAAACTGTGTATTTGGGAGACACTGTATTTAAAAAGAACTCTTTGTATATTCGTATGTGTTTATATTTACATATGATGTCTTGAAGTTTAGGGCCGTAGAAGATGTATTTTGTAAAGGGCTTCATTATTCAATGGGAATATTCTCAGGTTACCTCTTTACTAAGTTAAATTATTTCACTGATGTGAGGATACGAATCACTAATGGCAGATTATGAACGAGTTTGTATTCATTGCAGCATCAGCTATGCAGTAAGTGAAAGAAAGGGAAATACTAGGAAAGGGTGCCCTTGAAATATAACTGAATTTGATTTATGAAGTCAGATTGGGACCTTTAAGAAATCCCTATGTAGGAGACAGGGTGGTTTGGTGGAAAGAACAAGACTTTTGAGAGGAACTTGAGTCAAGTTGGGTGATCTGCTGATGAGCCTCAGTTTCTTCCTCAGAGTTGGATTTAGTATTAATGGCTTGAATAGTGATGGGAAGAATTACATGTTTATTATATATAATACTAAAATGCCTTTTATGTTGTTATTTCTGTAAGTCAGTGTTTTGTGTCCATCAAATAATTATTGAGCATCTGTTTTGTGTAAGCCTCTTTTGGGGAGCTTCAGATAATCAACACTTAGTACAGGGTCTCGTGAATGTGCTGAGGCACAAAGGTAGCAGCAGTACCTGGCCTCAGTGTACTCATAATCTAGTGTGAGGAAATAACCTACGCACATAGAGTGGTGATTAACAAAACAAAGCCGTGGTTCATTGCTAACGAATGATAAAGATAAATGCAGTAGGTACTGTAGGGGTACAGCTGGATGTGGTGTTAAAGTAAGGACCTGGCAGGTGGGGCGCCCTCTGCAAAACACTGTGAAATGTTGATATATTAGGTACAATTGTATATTGAGTGCCTTCTGAATGTCAAGTATAAGCTAGGTCCTTTATATTCATTCATTCATCCAACAAATGCCGGGTGCTTTTTGTATGCCGAGGTACTGTTCTAGGCACTGGGTACTGCCTCAAACTCTTTGACTAACCTTGAGCATTTGGTATTATTATTTCTCGTTTAGAGCAAACTGGCACTCCGAGATACTTAGTAACTTCTCTGAGTTCATATCCTGCAGTTTGAAAGGGGTGGGACCAGGGAAAATGATACTGGCTTATAATTGTTTTGTCTTTAGGTTTCTGATTTTCAAAATAATAATTCCTGGAATTATTTCTGAGAAAACTCATTTCCAGATTAATGTATTTTCTCTTGTATGTGGGTTTACTAAGATGAGCAATAGGAAATAGGTGTAAGAAAAAACAATGGGAAGAAAAGTATCTCTTTACTTTCCTCTTTTTTTGTTTTTTGTTTTTTTCCTTTTTTAAACCAAGAGTTAGGAAAAGACCAATTAGTGAGTTATACTGAGAAGAACACATTGGTCTAGCTCATGGCCTTGAAATGATTACAAACTGTTAACAAAACATTCAGATTAGGTTTGGGAATTACTGCACTTATTTATTAAAAAGCTTTCATTTGTTCTTTGTAGGAGGAGACTTGATAAGGCAATAGGTTAGTTATCAAAAAAAAGTAAACTGATCAATAAAAAGTGGGACCTAAATATAC